CAATCACAGATTTTTCCTAAGTAAAGCCTTTAATTGGAGTTTCGTGCAGAAGAGGGTGAAAATGACCACATGGACTCTTAAAAAACGAGAAAAATCTGGTTTTACAACAAATTGCGGGGTATCCCTGGTTGGCCATTCTTTCTTTGCACAGATATTCAATGTGCACTTACATCAGAATCTCTGCGTTTTATCATCATAATATTTTGCTTTGGTATATTCCATCCATCGTTCCCATCCATCGCCATTGGAAAAAGCAAGAGCTCTAACTTTTGAATCATCAAATAGAATGAGATCCAGCAAGTATCACCTACATCATGATGTGCCCACCGCCAATAGCAAGTAATGAAATAATGAATGATCTGTCTTTATTGTAATGAAATAATGAGTGATCTGTCAAAATCAATTGATCGATAAAGAGTCAAACAGGAGTTGATTGTTCAGGATCGCTTTATGAGGAGCCAGAAGCAGTAATTCTAGGGCAACGATTTGATTGTTGGTCTATGTTGCTGAAAAGGGCATGGCATCACAAAATGATTATAGGGTCTTTTAGGAAAAAGAAAGAGACATCTGAGATGTCGCAGAATTTGGGGGGCATAGGCCACTCGTTTTCCGCGACTGGTTGGCCATTCTGACATCTGACATGTAGCAGAAACCATCGATTTCCACGACTGATTCGCCATTCTTAAACTCAAGATGTGACATCTGAGATGTCGCAGAATTTGGGGGGCATAGGCCACTCGTTTTCCGCGACTGGTTGGCCATTCTGACATCTGACATGTCGCAGAAACCATCGATTTCCACGACTGATTCGCCATTCTTAAACTCAAGATGTGACATCTGAGATGTTGCAGAATTTGGGGGGCATAGGCCACTCGTTTTCCGCGACTGGTTGGTCATTCTTTCCTTGCACAGATATTCAATATGCACTTACATCAGAATCTCTGCGTTTTATCATCATCATATTTTGCTTTGGTATATTCCATCCATCGTTACCATCCATCGCCATTGGAAAAAGCAAGAGCTCTAACTTTTGAATCATCAAATAGAATGAGATCCAGCAAGTATCACCTAAATCATGATGTGCCCACCGCCAATGACAAGTAATGAAATAATGAATGATCTGTGCCCACCGCCAATGACAAGTAATGAAATAATGAATGATCTGTCTTTATTGTAATGAAATAATGAATGATCTGTCAAAATCAAACGATCGATAAAGAGTCAAACAGGAGTTGATTGTTCAGGATC